CAAATTCTCCTACAAAAACTAAGTATAAAGAGTACATAAATGTGTAAATTTATGGACTTATCAAATACCCACAACTTAGATTTTGCTAGTCCTCGAGTAAAACAAAACCAAAAATAAAAACCAAAAAACACAGACTCAACGCAAACAAGCGATCGACTAACTTCCCAATATTGATCTCAGAGATAATCACTAACCGTTAGCTAACTTTCAAGAAATAAGCAACAATAACTCAAGACATTATCAAAGGGTTAACCAAACTTTAATGGAACAACTTGGATATAGTGTGTGAAGTAGCCAACATGAATACAACCCACGACTTAAGCTTCACACAAGTTAAATAACCAAATAAGAACAAGCTTCAACTTCAAATCTCATCAAGGATATTCACTCCAATAAAAGCACTTGAAATTTGACTAGTTATTGTCACTCATAAATATGTGAGAGGAATCAAAGCAATAGGATGTACTCACATCATTGAAATAAAGGCACATGACATAGATAAAAGATCTCATGGAAAGATATCGCATACTTGAAAACATTTAAACTATCCGACCATAGTCCTTCCACACCTATTCTCCACATGAGGAACCACACTTCTCCTTGGATCAAGTAGGACTTTCACTAAGGTTGTAATGGGGCTTAGGGTGATGGGTGAAGCAAGTGAAAGATATGGATGAACAAATTCTAAGGAATTCATAGAGCTTTCCATGAGAATTATAACATCTTGCACTTTGAGCACGAAACTTCATACTGATTCTGTCTTGAATTCTTTTTTTTTTTTTTTCCTAACTCCATCAGCTTTCTAATCAACCCATGTAGCGAGTGTTAGGCCAATGACTCCCAAGCTAGATAGCTTTAGGGCATTAAATGTAAAGCACTCCTAGGGCTTAATAACTCGAGTGGAAAAGGCTTCGAAGTTAGTTTTTTTTTTCTTTTCTTTTTTTTGAAATAGTATCCTTTACTTTCCACATGATTGAACAGTTTGTGCAATTCTCCCTTAACAACGAAAATACTCTACAAAACTCCTTAGAAGGGTGTAGGATAAACATATGATAGATTAAGGTGAGGAGAATTGGGTGAAGAATGAAAAAGGCTTACACAAAAGGCACAAGGGGGTTAACTAGGGATAAAAGTGATATGGGTTGGCTAGAAGGGCTCAAACGAAAGAAACAAGGCCTATATCACTTCCTAGAATCCATGTGGTTCACAAAGTATGCCTCAAATAGATAATGAAAGTAGTTCTAGCAAACAGTTTAAACATCTTCAAGTACTTGACCAAAACAAAGAATAATGAGATCACAACGACGTAGACAAGAAAAATTATAGAATATCATATAACACTCAAGAAAGGAAGGCATAGGCTCAAAAATTCACATAATGAGGGTTATATAAGTTTACACTAGCTCTTATTTAGCCATTTAAATCATATGAAATCCCCAATCGAAACTCATATTAATATGGCTATGTGCATAAGAATTTCCCAAGTCTAATCACAAGAATAAGGCTAACACAAAGATAATGTAAAGAATTATTGTCATGCTCAAAACTTCTTGAAAGTTAATTGTAAATAAGATTCAATCTCATCATAGAATTGGAAAGTGACACAAACAAATAAAAACAAGACTCAAAGTAAAAGAAATTTTTTTTTTTGATTTTATGACATTTTTCTGATTTTTTTGATTTTTGATTTAAAAAAAAAAAAAAAAAAAACTGAAAACAAAACAAAACAATAGAATAAAAACTAATTAAAAAAAAAAACCAAAAGTTGAAAGGCTTTGAAAATCAATAAACAAAGCTGCAGTTCTGACCCAGGCGCAAAGAATGAGATGTATCTCACAAAATACTTGGCCAAAGTTCACGTTCTTTATATGGTTGGATTCAGATTGAAAAATCAAAGAACGCAACGTGGGCCAAAACACAAAAACAGCAGCGGACAAGGACAGAATTTGAAACAAAGACAGAGGACTGCTGCATATATTATGAAACCAAAGACCTCAATCACCCACAACTTAAAACGAACATTGTCCTCAATGTTTAAAACAAAGATAAATAAGTCATGCAAATTCAATTAAAGAGAGAGAGAGAGAGGGTGTGAGAACTTCCCGGGTTTGTGTAGATGTATGGATGAGCAAAGTGTAGAATATGTCAAAGTGAGAGTGGATCGACAATGCGACGGACTTAAACACCCACAACTTGCTTCTTGGAATGTCAACGGACCCGTAATAGCTCCTAAAAGTCTCGGAATGCGATGAAATTGGAATGAAATTGAGCTGGATATGTAGTCATAAAAATCTGGAAATCCGACTTTTAGCGACGAAAAATCTGATGAACACCGCTGCAAAATCTTCTTTGGTGACGAAAAATCCTATGAACACTGTCGCTAAAACCTCTTTGGTGACGAAAAAGCTTCAAATTCTGGGCAAGACAGCAGCTGCATTTTTTTTGTATTTTAGGTCCTTTTTTGAGCTTCAAATCGTCTTAAAACATAATGTAGGCCACCGGAGACCCCCAAACCTGGTCCAAAACATCATAATAACCATTCTAAACACGTCGGTGACTTCAGATTGACCTGAAAAATAACAAAAAAGACATTATGCAGAAATTTTAATTTTTACCAAAATAAGAACCTACTAAGCTATTTTTCTATTTTCTGGCATGTAACTTCAACCAATGACCAAAAACACTACTGTAACACATTTGAAACGTGATGCAACCATCCTCGGGCTAGAAAAATCCGAAAATTTGTCTTTGAACACAAAATCCATTGTTTGATGACGCAAAACTTAACAAAAACAACAAAAACAAAAACATGAATAATGTAAGAGAAATCACATAGAAACTAAAGACCAAAAAACAAAAACAAAAGGTAAGAATGCTTGGGTTGCCTCCCAAGAAGCGCTTAGGTTATAGTCTTGAGCTAGACTTTGATGCACGGAGACTAGATAGGATCTGCCGGCTCACTCAAAGGGAGTGAGGTCTTCTCGATGTCAAAGGGTGACTCGAGGTAAGGCTTCAAGCGATGGCCATTCACTTTGAAGGTCGTCCCATCTTTAATATTCTGAATTTCAACAGCACCATGTGGAAAGACTTGCACTATAAGGAAGGTCCATACCATCGTGACTTAAGCTTGCCAGGGAAGAGTTTTAGCCTTGAGTTAAAGAGTAAAACCTTCTGACCAGGATGAAACTCTTTACGTAGTATGGACTGATCATGAAACAACTTCGTCTTCTCCTTGTAAATTTTGGAGTTTTCATATGCATCATTCCTTATTTCTTCCAATTCATTGAGCTGTAACTTCCTCTTTTCTCCAGCAGCTTGATAATCATAATTAAGTTTCTTGATTGCCCAAAAGGCCTTGTGTTCTAGTTCCACGGGAAGATGACAAGCCTTGCCATAGACCAAACGAAAAGGAGACATGCCAATTGGGGTCTTGAAAGCTGTCCGATACGCCCACAATGCGTCATTCAACTTGAGGGACCAATCCTTCCTAGAAGCATTCACCGTCTTCTCTAGGATGCGTTTGATTTCACGGTTAGAAACCTCCACTTGCCCGCTTGTTTGTGGGTGATAAGGAGTGGCCACCCTATGTGTGATGTTGTATTTAGCTAGGAGCGCCTTCAAAGGCTTGTTGATGAAGTGAGGGCCCCCATCACTAA